CAATGGGGTAGAAGTACCGCAGCCCTCTGAAATCTCAGGGAGGGTCCCTGTCCTCTTACCTGTCCTGAGGAGGGAACTAGCCCTCTGGCCAAATGTCTTTGAGAGCTCCAACATCATGGGTGCTGAGAATCTGTTTGGCTTCTAGGTCTTGACCAATGCCCTAGTAGAGTGTCCCTGCAGCCTAAGACAATTTTTGCCTGTTATTGCAAAAAGCGTTTGAATCTTTTGAGTCTACCTGATGTGTACCTTAGTTGCCCTAACATGTGACTGATGCTCCTTCGTAGGTGGATAATTCTCACACATTCTCTCAGAAGCTCACAGCTGACATGGCAGAGCACTCCAATCTCATTCGCAGCATGTTGGTTCGAGCAGAAGATTCACGCCTCATGGGAGACATGTAAGTTGGCTTTGTATCATTTCCCCTGCATTAATATTTCTGACTAGCTATTGTTTTTCTGGCTCTAGGGTGCACAGCCAATTTTTTTGACTGTAACTTGTTTAAACTGTTTTAAATACTGTATTGCTACGAGCCACCCTGGGATTTTCTGGTGAAGGGCAGGTAATAAATTACATTATTATTTATTATTAATAATACTATGCAAACAATTAACTTATCTAATTCACAAAATTTACTTAAAGCAGTGTGAAAAATTTAAAACAATCTTAATAAATGTAAGAAACAAGAGTGCTTTGAGTACCAAGCATTTTCCAGTGCTATTGGCTGTCCCACCTGCTTGTTTAGCTTCTTCAGAAAACACAAGAATTTCCTCCTCATGCAGCCTTGGCTCAAGTTTGCTTGTTCTGCTCCTTAGCAGACCCTTTATGTATGCCAGGCATCTACACCTATGCAAGGGGTAGGGTGATGACATAGCTCTAACCTATTACCTCCAGGAAGACTGACGGTGGATACAGATCAAGTGGGTGGGAAGATCAAGGAGTCTTGAAATCTGCCAAGGGTTTTTTTTGGTACTGAAATTCCTAGGTTAGCAGAAGCTGTTCTTGAAGAGCATCCTGGCCAGTGTGAATAAACGGTTACTGTAACACACACATCTCAGAGCCAGGACTCACTTTTAACCCAAACATGCATTTGGGAGCCCATTTTTTTATTCTTTCATCATATATTTGTCATTTTAGTCACATTCCCTGTAACATCTGAATGGGACTGGTTCTGGGCAGAGATTGATTTCCAAGGCCTGTAAGTTACACTCTTTGTGTTTATTCTCACAGGAAAAATATGAAGAAGCGATACAAAGACCTATATTATCTCAACAGGGATTTGCAGTCCCAGTACAATATTCGCTGCAGCAATCACGCAGAACTTCTAAATAACCTCAAGGCAGTAAACCAGGCTATCCAAAGAGCAGGACGCTTGCGTGGTATGTGCTTGAGAAGGGGTGGGGTGAACCAGCATTTTCCTTGTGCTCATGCCCTCCTTGCTGGAAAGATGAAAAAATGAGGGCGTTTTCAGGCAATGGCTACTTTTCATCTCAGCTTGGCAAGCCACAGGTTTTGGAAGTGGATACTCAGTTGGGAAAATAGCCAAAGGTCCACCATCTTGCCCCGCTACATGCCTTCTTTTCCAGAGATGTATTTATTTGTAGTTCAAACAGACCAGACTTCTTCCAACACAGAGATGTTCCCAAATTATGCAAAAGGAATGTGAAAAAGGAGGATTAGAGTATGGGATGGCAGTTTGAAATACAGTGGAACCTTGGGTTACGTACAGTCTTCCTTATGAACGCTTTGGGTAATGAGCTCCACTAACCCGGAAGTAGATGCTCCTGGTTGCAAACTTTGCCCCGGAATGCGAGAGGAAGTCGCGCGCTGGCCGTGCGGCGGCAGGCCCCATTAGTGAAAGCACGCCTCATGTTAAGAACGGTTTTGGGTTAAGAACGGACCTCCAGAACGAATTAAGTTTGTAACTGGAGGTACCACTGTACAGTGGTGCCTCGCAAGACGAAATTAATTCGTTCCGCAAGTTTTTTCTTCTTGCGAGTTTTTCGTCTTGCGATGCACGGTTTCCCATAGGAATGCATTGAAAATCAATTAATGCGTTCCAAGGGAAACCGCCTTCAGACCAGGTCCGGGGACAGTCTCTCCCCCGACCTCTTCTGAAGGCTGGGGGGGGGGGACAAGGGCTTCTGAAGGCTGGGGGGGGGCTGGGGGGGAACAAGGGCTTCGCTGCCGACCCCCAGCATTTTAAAATCTCACCGGGACACGGGGAGATTTTAAAATGCTGGGGGTCGGCAGCGAACGCTTCGCTGATCCCAGGGATGGCAGGCAGATCTGCACCGCCATCCAGAGCGGGGCGGGACTTAGCGCCCCGCTCGGGATGGCGGCACACATCTGCCTGCAGTCCCGGGACGGCAGACAGCTCTGCGCTGGCATCCCGAGCGGGGCGGGACTTAGCACCCCGCTCGGGATGGTGGCGCAGATCTGCCTGCAGTCCCGCGACTGCAGGCAGCTTTGCGCGGCCATCTGGAGCGGGGCGGGCTTCGCCCCCGGCTCCCGATGGCCGCGCAGAGCTGCGCTGATCCCGGGACGGCAGACAGCTCTGCGCCGCCATCCCGAGCGGGGCGGGACTTAGCGCCCCGCTCGGGATGGTGGCGCAGATCTGCCTGCAGTCCCGCGACTGCAGGCAGCTTTGCGCGGCCATCTGGAGCGGGGCGGGCTTCGCCCCCGGCTCCCGATGGCCGCGCAGAGCTGCGCTGATCCCGGGACGGCAGACAGCTCTGCGCCGCCATCCCGAGCGGGGCGGGACTTAGCACCCCGCTCGGGATGGTGGCGCAGATCTGCCTGCAGTCCCGCGACTGCAGGCAGCTTTGCGCGGCCATCTGGAGCGGGGCGGGCTTCGCCCCCGGCTCCCGATGGCTGCGCAGAGCTGCGCTGATCCCGGGACGGCAGACAGCTCTGCGCCGCCATCCCGAGCGGGGTGGGACTTCTCTGCTGTCCCGGGGAGATTTTAAAATGCTGGGGGTCGGCAGCGAACGCTTCGCTCCCGCCCGCCAGCATTTTAAGATCGCCCGGGGCAGCGGAGAAGTCTCCGCTGTCCCGGGAAGGCAGGCGGGGGGGAGCAAAGACTTTTGCCCCCCGCCGGCCTTCAGAAGAGGTCCAGGACCTCTTCTGAAGGCCGGCTGTGGGCGAAAGTCTTTGCTCCCGGCCGCCAGCAATTTAAAACAGGTCCCCGGAGATTTCCCTATGGGCTTTCGTCTTGCGAAGCAAGCCCATAGGGAAATTCGTCTTGCGAAGCGCCACCGAAACAGAAAACCCTTTCGTCTTGCGGGTTTTCCGTCTTGCGAGGCATTCGTCTTGCGGGGTACCACTGTATCTTGAAAGGATGTAGGAAGGAAAAAGGGAGAGCAGTTACTCACCAGGCTGCTTGAGGGAAGGGCATACTGGCATTTCCTTTCTATTGGCAATTCAATCTGTTAGTTTGTCATGTGGTAAGAGTAGGGAAATTTGCTGAATACTTTTTTTGCAGAGCTTCTGTTTTGCAGTGAGGGTAACATTTTGGGAAGTGTGAAGTTGTTTCTCTGGAAGAACAGTGCTGTACTAGAAACAAAGCACTTGCAAAAAGGATCTGGTTCCTTCTGGACATTGCCTGTACCTGTGGTTCATCTTCCTTTAAGCAGCTGCAGTAGCCACTCTAAGACAGTTGAAAGGCAGAGGGCAATCTGCTCCTTCTGTTTCAAAGGTTAGGGGAAGATCTAATTTTGCTCCCCATACCATGCTACCGATTGCAGTGTCTTCTATATCTTCCCTTCCTGGCAGCTGAATGGGGTATGCTTTCTGCAGGGGTTAAACCATTTTGTATGTGTGGGAGGGACATAGAATATAGCTGGTACAAAAAATTGTTACTGGCACAGTATCTTAGTCTAATCCTGTGACACATTTGTCAGAGTTGCAAATGCTATGACACCGAGATGCTCCTTTACTCCATTTATTTTGTATGGAGTCATGAGGGTTGTTTCCCTTGCTTTTAGACAGGGCTTTGGTTTTCTGTTGCATGATATAAACCCCCTAATCCTTGGCCTCTTTTATTCTGCATTACCAGTGGCCTTTTCCTAGCATCCTGGATTCCTCCTCCTGTGTGTGTGTGTGTGTGTGTGTGTGGAGATACTGGCACACAAGTGCCGGTTTAGCATTTCTCCCAGATAGAATTGGTCAAAGAGGACAGTTAGAATTTAGAAAAATCATGAAGTAGCAAGACGGATGAGAGCAGGTATCTCTGAATAAGCTGTCCCTGTTCTTTATGGGAATATGTCAGTGGGTGGACTCTGTTCTTGAACAAATTCCAGTGGTACTGCAGAAGCTGGTTAACAAGATTCTTAAACTTGTTGCAGTCACTTTGCAATTTGAGAAATAACTGAGTTTTTGAGGTGCTGAAGAAAATATCTGATTTTATCAGGACTTAGGGCAAAATGGCAGTGTGATGATTGTTTCCCTTCATGTCTTCATCCCTTTTGTAACATACTGCATCAAAAAATATTATGCACATTCAACCTACTCCCATTATTCATGTTTAAGGTTGCAGAGTTCATTATGTACTACCAGTCTTTAATTATTCTTTTTCTTTCTATCCTGCAGTTGGTAGGCCCAAGACACAGGTGATTGCTGCATGCCGTGAAGCTATTAAGCACAACGACGTTAATGCACTCATCAAGATAATGCGTGTGGGAGTCACTTCCTCTTTATTAAAGAAAAGATTGACAGAGACTGCAGTGGGATGATCGTTTTAAAAGGCAGTCAGCTCAGCGAGATGGGCAAAGTGGTGTAGCAGCTGACGTATCACACACCCTGGAGCCTGCTTGGGTAAAGGAAGTCCAGCAAAATAGGATGCACATATAGTGCTCCTGTATAGAAATATTACTATGAAACTGTTAGCAGGAGCTGAAGCCTATAGTAGTGGGAAGAGAACAGAGAAACAACTGACTGTTCTACACTGTCAGAGAGGACCAAAGTCTGAAGAGGGAATGTTGGTTATTTATGAATCTTATATAGCCATGTATAGTATTTTTATTGATGAAAGCAATAGTATGTTGCAGCACTTAAGATCAGTAATCTTCAATAAAACAAACAGACCTCAAGCTCCCTCTTCTCTGTGCTCAAGAAATTTGTGACCACTAAATATCATTAGTTGATATTCTTGTGATACTTGTTTCCTGCTTGGCAGGGGGTTGGACTCGATGGCCCTTGTGGTCTCTTCCAACTCTATGATTCTATGATTCTATGACTTGAGCCCTTGTAAATGGCAAAAAGGGAAGTATATTTGATTTTCATGTATAAAATCAAATATACCCCTTTTTAAGCTACCTTAAGGCCCCCATTCAGTCAAAAGGTGGGTTATATAATGAAATCCTAAAACTACAGCTTTTTATTGTGACCCTCTTGTTTTAAGTTGCTAGGACACATGTCCCTAAGTTCTGTTTTAAAAATCACTCTTATCATGCCTGATGTAACAATTATGCATTGCCCTTCTATGCAACAACCCACAACCCCTAAGCACTACAGCAGCAGAAACCGGCTGACCCCCTTCCCAGGGAAAAAAAAAGTTTGTCTTGGGCTTCCATACAACAGTAACCACACTTGCCAAAAAAGGATGACATGGTGGTAAGCAATGACAGGAGGAACACCCTGCCCTTCCCACCATTGAGAAGAATGTGTTTGCAGCCCTTGCATAGGATGAGGTAATGGTACAGAGAATGAAATACACATTCCAAATCACCAGTAATTAGATGAAAATGAAGCCCTTTTTTTGTAATCTTGGTTTCCCTATATGGTTTCAGCTTGCAAATTTGATTTCTGACAGTAGAGCTCATTCAGACCACCATCTCCACTTGCAGCAAAGATGAGGTGCAGGTTTTGCTCCCTATCCTATGTATTGGACTGGTGAGAACTTGATGCAGCATTAATGTAAATGTTGAAGTTGCTCAGGGGTACTGTCCTAGGTTCCTCCAACACCATATTTGTTTACGGAGTGCAGGCAGACCAGCAGCATTCCCACCTGTCTTTGGGAAGAACCAGCTGCACCAAGAGTCCTGTGTCCAGTTCTGGGTGCCACAATTTACAAAGGATATTGACAAGCTGGAACATGTGCAGAAGGGGATGATCAAGACAGTCAACAGTTTGGAAGCCAGGCCTGCTGAGGAACAGCTGAGGGAGGTGGGTATTATGCAATAGCCATACCTAAAGAGCTGTCACATGGAGCAAGCTTGTTTTCTCCTCCAAAGGCTAGGACCTGAACCAATGTCTTCAAAGGAGATTCCGACTCAACTTCAGGAAGATATTTCTGACTGCAAGAGCTGTTTGACAGTGGAACAGACTCCCATGAGAGGTGGTGGACTCTCCTTCCTTAGAGGCTTTTAAGCAGAGGTTGGATGGCCATCTGTCATATAAGATCTAGTTGAGATTCCTGCATTGCAGAGGATCGGACTAGATGACCCTCGGGACCCAACTATACAACTCTTTGAGTCCATGTGGCAACTGTCATTCATAGTAAACAAAGCAAATGTCCCAGAATCCAGTTTGCTCTGTCTCTCTGGCTGTTTGCTTCAAACAACGATGGTTGATATACTTCACAAATTTCAGCGACTCTGGGTCTCTATAAACCAAGGCCAAACAGTTCATCTCTGGAGTGATCAGCAGCAGCTTGAAGAAAAAAACCAAAGGAAGTATTAAGGAAACAAGCTGATACAATTTACTTCTGCAGAAGACAGACAGAGAGAGGAGACATTCCGGTATCAGGGTCAGGTTAAAGAACTTATTTTGTACACGTGTAGAATAAGTGAATCAAACTCCTGCTCCAGTTAAATTAGGAAAGGTTTCAGTGCAGATTCCTTGAAAACAGCAACACCACACAGCCCTCCAAATGAGGTGTGAGCAAGAAGATATCCCCTCCCCACACCACTATACTGTCCCCCCCCCCAAGCCAATCTATGTTTTGCCATAAGAAAAAAGAAACGGGCAACGTGAATTGCTGACACTTCAGGAAAAAGTACTCAGTTGCCCTGTGCATGTCCCAAACCTATGTATGGGTCATGGGGAGCACGGAGTAAACTGCTTTCAAAATGGTCTGATAAAGCACAAGAGGGGTAGAGACAACTGCTTACCTCTTCATCTTCATCTTTTGCAAGGTATGAAGTAAAGCCACCATACTCCACGTCCCAATCTTGAAAAAAAGAAATGAGCAGTTGTCATTTGTTTTGCGAAGTTTTCCAAAGTCACTGCTCACTCCCATTGAACTATTAAGAAAAGTTGTATGCCAAGCATATTACTTGTTTTAGATGTAGCTTTTGTCAAATTTACCTCAAAAGAACCTTCTAGGGGCAGCTTATGGTTTCTAACACAAATACAGTGGTACCTCTGGATGTGAGCAGGATCCGTTCCGGAGCCCCGTTCGCATCCTGAAGCGAACGCAACCCGTGTCTGTGGGTCGCAATTCGCTGCTTCCGCGTGATGTCATTTTCAGCGTCTGCATGAGCGACGAAATCCGGAAGTAATGTGCTCCATTACTTCTGGGTCGCCGCAGGGCATAACCTGAAAACGCTCAACCTGAAGCACATTTAACCTGAGGTATGACTGTACTCATATTCATGGGCTACATAAAGAAAAGCAGCAGTATAAAAAGCCCAAATCAAAGTCTTAGCATTAAAATGATGGAACAAAGGTTTTACAGCTTGCCTTTTAACTTTTCATTATGTTTAGGGCAGCCTTTGCCAACCACGTGCCCTCCCAATGTATTGGACTACAGCCTGGTTCTGGCAGATGGTTGTAGTCCAAAACTTCTAGGGAACGTCTGATTGGCAAGGGTTGCTTTAGGGGGTGGTGCTTCCTGGATGTCTGAAGGAAGTTTCATTACTCTCCTCTGTCTCAGGCAGCTGAGCAAGTATTTCTTATTCGTTGTCTTCCTTTTAATATAAGATAAACCCTGTTTACTAAGAGACAAAGCAAGAGGACCAGAGTTCTGGGAAATGCCAATAGACCATTCTTGCTTCCAGTCCCCACAATACACACATTGGCTGAATGAGACTAGCTCAGCTGAACTGTTTTCCGGCTGACTTTTGTGCTCAAGCACAGATGCACCTACCCAGCTTCACATAAATGCTCAAGGCATCTTAAAACCAAAAGAAAGCACACCAATGCATTTGAGGAAGAATGCATTTAAGAAGGGCTTATCTTAAATTTAATGATATAACTACAGGACAGTGGACAGTGAAACAAATACATCAGGCAGAAAAAAAAACATTACTTAGAAAATAAATACATGGATCTTGAAGCTGAAAAAAAAGGTGGCCTTCTAGAAACAGTTGCTGAATGCATCAAACACCAAAGAGTTTAGTGGTGATCCCTTTTCTTTTTTAATGAAGGCAAGACACCTATTCAATTGTGCAATCTGAGGTGGGCCTCCCATAAGATTTTGCCCAAGTTCTTTTATAACAGAAAGTTCTGCGATTGGGTTCACTAAGAAATACAAGTGAGTGTGTTTATATATGGCCATAACTTATTGGCCGTTTGACTTGCATACAAGTTTGTATTATATATTGTCACATTTTAAAGTATTTATAAAAGTTTTATTTTATGTAGCTTAGAATCTTTACAGCATTATCTTTGCACATAAGCCCTTAAGACATTCTTGCCAAAATGCATTGGGCGTATTGAACAATAAAAATTGGCATCGAGATATATTTCTGCTTTTGTTTTGTCAGCTTAAAACCAAACTAACCTTCACACCCACAGAAGAGCAGCAGATCTAGTGAGAACTCTGTTGTTTCAGCATCATGGACTAGAGTGTAGCAACCTTTGGTCCAATGCCTCAGCTCTCCAGTACACAGAGGGACACTTGAGTCTGAGGAGGAAGATAGCCAAAAGGACATGACTGGTGAGCAGGTGACAGACCCCACAAGTCTCCTATATAGAGCCTAGCATAGCTTCAGATCCCAAGGTTTCCCCATTCAACCCCATTCCCCATTCAACCCAGCAGCTTTCCTCCAAGCTAAATGACAGGCAAAACCTTCTCTAACCCTCTCCAGATCTAGTAAGAATAGCCAGAGGCTTTGGAAAAAACCCTCTCCAGTTATGTGCACTTTTGCTCCCCACATGCATGAAGGCAACAGAGAAATGGATGCGAGCTCTGGAGAGTCCCTCTCAACATACTCCAAGGTAACACAAACTACTATTTTTGCCCAGGCAATTCAATTGCGGCACCAAGGAAAGCTCAATTCCACAATGAAGTGCAAAAATTTCCTCAATGTGTATAAGGTAAAGGTAAAGGTACCCCTGCCCATACGGGCCAGTCTTGACAGACTCTGGGGTTGTGCACTCATCTCACTCTATAGGCCGGGAGCCAGCGCTGTCCGCAGACACTTCCGGGTCACGTGGCCAGCGTGACGAAGCTGCTCTGGCGAGCCAGCACCAGCGCAGCACACGGAAACGCCGTTTACCTTCCCGCTAGTAAGCGGCCCCTGGAAAGCTTCAATTCACATGAAGGCTGCAAAAATATTCCTCAATCTGTATACAGCTCCCTATTTTTGCATGTTCTTCTGATTCTGCTAGTTCAAACCATCAGGAGGGACAGGAAGTTATTTGGGGCATCCTGTCACACTTCTGTCTTTGGAGATTCCAGCCCTAGGCAGCTTCAAAACCTCACAACTATTAAGGGATACAAACTAAGTTATAAATATTAAATCTGTGTACTCCCAAGGAATCATATATGCTTGTCTACTCTTAATAGTAACATATTTAAAAACTCCCACAAAGACCCTCTAATATAGAAATGCAGGACTTGATAGTTTTTGGCTAAATTTCCTCTTCGGAACTCACAACTTTCAGAATATTGATTTATTTTAGGTCAAATGATATTTGATCAGCAGGTGCTAGTCTTGTGACAAAAATGATCCCAAGAATATTAATCCAGCCCAAGTAGAATGTAACAACTGTGGTTTGAATTGTCTAGGAACTGGGCCCTGAGCACTTCATGGTTAAGGCATACCATAAAGCAGTGGCTATGTTGAAAAATAAGGTATCATTGCAACTAGATAGCAGTGATTTACACACCACACTCTCTGTTGACCTTGTTGTCAGAGATGCTCCCATGTGCCTCTGTGTACTCCCGACTGCCAGTTTCCTCTTGGCTGCTTTCTCCTTGTGTGCATCTGGAAGAATCGCCGCCTGCAGCAATTTCTCCTTCCCCTTCCTTTTCATCGTCTTCTTCCCCAGGAGCGAGAAAGTGCAGCTTCAAGCCTGTGAAGTTGGAAAGGAGCAGGAAGAAGGCTTCTGAGCGGAATAGCTCCATGCAATTTTTCAAGATGTCTGGCAGGCTCTCCTCTTCAGCTTTGTCATAATGCCTAAAATGACAAGAAGCATTCTTAAGAGGGGCTACATCACTCTGCACACCTCAAGGATAGCCTGTTCAAATTCTGAACTAAGGCAACCCCAGTTATACAAAGAGATTACATTATGCAAATAAAGCACATGATGCAATCACAAGCATTACTGCCTCCAACAATGGAGGCAAAGCACAGTCATTGTGGCTCGTAGCCATTGAATTATATATATAGGAGTGGGGGGGAAAGAGTGGGAGAATGGTTCAACGGGAGTACACTTCTATGCCCTCTGCCTCCAACATTACCAGTGGGGTTAGGGACATGAAGCAAGGCAGGATGCTGAAGCCCTAGATCCAAATCTAAAGGAGTCCTGCTCAGCCCAATCTGTCTTCAGGGATTTCAAGCAGCGTTAAAATATAGAAGGCACTCTCTTGTAAACGTAAAGATTACCAAATGAATTTACTGAAGTTCTCAGCAAATCAAATACACGAGATACACTCAAATTACAATCGCAGAACAAAATGAGTTCAAAACACACAGCATAGGTGAGCTGGCATGAACATAGCTGACCATAAGAAGCAAGATGCAATATAGACAGAAGCAGCCTGAAATGGTCCTACCTTTTGTTAGGGGGCCCCCTGCTGCTCCATTTGAGTCCTTCCTTCTTCAGAGCCTCACAGACGAGCTGAAATTTCTCTCTCTAGGAACCAAGGCACATTCAAACAGCTTTTGAAGCAAGTCCCACATTTCTGCCTAAGCAGTACTAGCCCTTCTGCTGCATGCCAGGCTTTCTCTAGAAAACTAGAGAAAGCAAGTAGGTCCAAATAGGATTTAGTTAAATCACACATGGTTTTTCATTTTCTTGCAGGGGAATGCCTCACGTAGCTGATCCTTGGGCCTCCATCTGATTAACTGCATGAAAGTAATGGCATTCCCAGCAGTGAGGAACCTTACTCAGTCCAAAGGACTGCACCATCTTATGGGCAAGCTTTTAGACCATGCCTTAGTGGTAGAGGGGCAAGAAGCAAAACTGGGACAGAAATTGACCTGAACTACCTTTATACCACAGGCTACATTCCAGCCACACAAAAGTCACAGGTTTTTACACACAGGTGCTGCAGTACGATAACCGACAGGAGTGAGACCCTGTCAGAGTATAATATCTCTGCTCAGATGTGCACTGGCTGTGATTTGTCACCAAGCCAAATTCAAGGTATTACTATTAGTACTTCACACCCTTAACAGATTAGGATCTTATTCCACATATCCCCACTTGACCATGTCAATCTGCAGAACTGGCACTTTGACAAGTGTCATGTAATATTTGTATCTCATTTGCAAGAAGCGATCCTTCAAGGTAGCACCTCCTCCTCTCGGGAACTCCCAACACATTATTAAGCAGGCATCTCCATGGCATTTTCAACTTTTCTCTTTCCCTTTTTAAACCGTCCTTCTGCTCACCCCATTGGACTGAACAACATTGTAAGGTAGGAAATGACTTTTCAAAACCCACCTTGAGAAAATCCTTTAGCAGGGTTTCAGACCGATCTTCAAACTCCTCTTGGATCTGGGCCTGGGAATCCATGTCTAGATAAACTGGATTGATCCAATCATATAAAATTTCGTGCTAGGGAAAAATGAAACAAGGAAAGGCTAAGAAAGAAAAATCCAACAAAATATCCATTATGAAGAAATCTCCCTCACCAGGAAGCCCCTTTAGGACAAGAATCTGGAATAATTTTACTGTGTGGACTCTATATCTGAAAAACGTGCCCTCCCCTTTACTCTGAGCTAAAATTTGATGAAAAATTTGGCATGGATGCCAGGAAACATAAAACTGGTGTCCCCTCATTTGGCCTGTTACAGGCACAGAATTTCCTGCCCCCACTTGAGTGGAATTAAACTTCAGCCCCAAAGGATTCTCTCTTGTGTGGCAGCCTAGTGGCAGAAGAGAAGCAGAGACCAGGGTGGGATCTGAAAAGTAGGTGTTTGTGCTCCCCCGTCCCATGCAACAACTGAGTGGTGAGTATACTGTTGAATTAGGTCATAGAAAGAGCAACATTTATTTACATCACGAGGGAGGTGAGGGCTCCGTGGCAAAAGTGGTTCCACATAGCGCACTGGCCTTGCCACTGAGGGACCGTGAAACCAGCCGCTCACAGACAAGCGGCACTTCCCTTCAGAAACAACCTCAGCCACCTGGAATGGGAGAAATCAAAAGGACATGCTTTTAGCACTTTTGTCTTTGGCACAGGGACCAAAGAGAAATCACAAAGGGGCTTCTACTGATTTAGAATTGTGTCTTACACCATCCTGAAGACAGGGCCATAGCAGGATTTGAAAATAAATCTAGTATCAATTATGAAGCATCAGCTAAATGAAATGTCACAGATCAAAGCTGCACCGAGCCAGATTAACTCAAGTTTTGAACCAAATAAATAAAACATGTCTGTGGGGTGACCAAACTATATGAAGCTGAGGCCGCGGAGATCTTGAGCACCCCTAGCACTAGAGGATCTGGCTAGGGTACTGAGTCTGTCTGGTATTCCTTTTTGCCTCCTGCTCCCAGGTGCTCTAGATGAAAGGCAAACCTACCCCAAAGCACAGAGGGAAGGCTACTTATGGACTGTCAGGCTTACGCCAAAGGCAGCTGTCAAAGCAGAACGAGGAGCTGAAAATTTAGGTTTGGAGAGTCAAGACAGAAGCCTAAAAGCTGGGCTCACAATGAGTTTGGCTTGAAGGTCTACCTCCAGGCCCACAAATCACAGGAGGAGGGCGGGCCTCAAGTAAACTGGAAGGCCGAGTTTCCTGGAACATAGGGTATATCAGAGGCTAGGAGAAGAATGTGGAGGAGTATTATGGACACATGCACAGAGGATGTAAAGAACAAAGAGAGAAGTTCCTTGCCTGATGGAAAGAGACTGGTGATACTTCAAAGAAAGTAAGCGAGTTCCATGAAGGGACCACAGACTTGGCAATCTCCAAAGGTTGGAAGTTATCTGCCAGGGGGAAATGTATCACACAACGTACACAATTGAGTATGCAGTTCTAGCACAGTCACATTTCTACCATGACATCTCCAGATCAACCACAAAGCCAGGGAGAAATTGCCGGTTTTGAACCAATATTTTACCTCCTGCTCCTACAGGCCATTAACCACCACCTGCGTTTGTGCAGACTCTCACTATGGACAGCATTCATGACCCACTGAGGTAGATGGCATCCAATCCAAAGTATTGAAAGAGATGGAATGATCAGGTTTCCAAGACTCAAGTGTTGCCCTGAAGCTACAGACCACGACCTATTAGCAACTAGGCCTGGGCGATGTATCAAAACATCGCCAGGACCAGTAAGAGGGCCAGAGCATGATGGCTGTTTCGCCTGACAGTATTTCGCAGGTGAGGAGATACAGTGGTTCCCCGCAAGACGAATGCCTCGCAAGACAGTAAACCCGCTAGACAAAAGGATTTTCCGTTTCTGAGTTGCTTCGCAAGACGATTTTCCCCATGGGCTTGCTTCGCAAGACGAAATGTCTTGCTAGTCTTGCGATTTTTTCCCCGCTCCCCCCCCTTTTCTAAGCCGCTAAGCCGCTAATAGCCTTTTAGCAGCTAAGCCACTAATAGCGCTATTCCGCTTAGCCGCTAATAGGGTTGCTTCGCAAGACGAAAAAAACCGCTAGACGAAGAGACTCGCGGAACAGATTCTTTTCGTCTTGCGAGGCACCACTGTACTGCAGTATTTTTACCGGCACCACATAATATTTGTACCACATCTGTTAAGAACTTGATTGTTTAGCGTGGCAGCACCGACGCTCTGGAACTCCCTGCCTATTGATATCAGGCAGGCGCCTTCACTGTATCCTTTTTGGCACCTGCTGAAGTCATTCTTATTTAGACAAGCCTACCCAGATGTTTAGAAGGTTTGTATGAGTTACCGTATTTTTCGCCCCATAGGGCGCACCGGACCATAGGGTGCACCTAGTTTTTTGGGGGGGAAATAAAGGGAAAAAAAATATTCCCCCCCCCCAGGCGCGGGGCTGGGGCGGGGGAAGCCCGAGCTTCCCCCGACCCCAGCCCCCAGAACAGGCTGCTGTCCGCAAGCCTAGGGAGCCCGCGGGAAGTCACGCCGGTCTCCCCAGGCTTGCGGATATCTGCCCGAAGGCTTCGGGATGCAGGCATCTCTCTTCGGGATGCAGGCAACTCCACAAACCAGGTCGGGGAATAGCGGGATGGCGGCGCTCCGCCTCCCCGCTGTCCCCCGAGCTTGTGGGGCTGCCCGATATCTGCACGAAGCCCGGGGCGCGCTGTGCAGTGCGCCCCAGGCTTCGGGATGCAGGCTGCTATCCTCAAGCCTTGGGAGCCCGACGGGAACTCCTAAGGCTTGCGGATCGCTTCCTGAAGCCTGGAGAGCGAGAGGGGTCCGTGCGCACCGACCCCTCTCGCTCTCCAGGCTTCAGCGAAAGCTGCATTCGCCCCATAAGACGCACACACATTTCCCCTTCATTTTTGGAGGGGAAAAAGTGCGTCCTATAGGGGTGAAAAAACTAGGTAATTTGTTGTTAGTTCTTTGGTGGTTTTACTTTCTGTATGTTTAAAATTATGGCTGTTGAATTTTTAGTGAATTTGATTCTTTTTTGTAACCGCTTTCAGGTTTTTTCTGCAACAAGCAGTACATAATACTTGATGAAATAATTAATAATAATAATAATAATACCAGGCTTTAAAAATGCCTAGATGGCTGCTTGTCCCTTGTGCAGTCTGCTGGCCATCCAGATGCTGCAATATCAAGGAATGTTTCACATACACTCTAACTTGTGATCAACCAGGGTTTGGCAATCAGTGCAACCGCTATGATGGAATCAGATCCCTTGAGTTAGAGCGGCAGTGAGGGGAGAATCACAGAGAGCTTAAGTATTCATGAGAAGTGGTAGGTGGTTCTCAGGATACCAAGCATGGGGGAGGGGGTTACAGGAAAACGCTGGAGAGGTGAGGAGCATTAAAATTATGTTTCTCACAGAAAATACGGTTTTGTCACAGAAAAGGAAAACCTTACAAGCACTATTTTGGAAGCACTCTAATGCAGAGTTAAGATAGCAATCCTGCTATTCAAAAGAACCAGCTAAAAGTAGCATGGAAGCTTTACTTTTATAGCTTGCTTGCTTAGAACCCACAACAGTAAATACTGCAGGAGGAACTGGATTACTGTATTGCACCTACCATCTGTGCTGAACAGATCCAGGGTACCTCCGTCACTTTTATCCCATGGTGGTACAAGGTAAAGGATGAAAGCAATTCGCCGTCCCTCCAACTCATCATCGTGGCAGAGCAAGGCATCTGCAACAGCATATGATTTAGTTGATCAAGATCAGTGCTGAGTGTACTGGATGTGCCAGATAAACTACCAGGCTTCATTCTTTTGCCCCAACCCTAAGTCAACAGCATCCCATCAGATACTGTTCCCAGACCCTCCTACCAGCACAGCGAACTCGTCTCTGCAACAGGTCCTGCAGGTAGGTTGCTTACCTGTATATTCATATTTGGCACAGGACAGATCAATGGTTGGCTCCAGCTTCACTTGGGTTACATCAGAAAGCCAAGACTGGAACTCTTCAAAGAGAACTTTTCTAAAAGGAGGAACAACATGGAACGTGGGGCTGCTAAACCTCAACCATTTATGTTGCATGTGGAATAAAACATGAGCTTTTGGCATCTATCTTTACTGATAAAAAGACCATGATCCACCTGAAAGGTCTCCATATACTCCAATACATGTTAAAAAGCAAGCAAAGGTTGAGTAGGGTGTGGGGGCCAATGATTAAAGATATAGTAGGAGTCCAGTCAGCACATATCTCAGTCAACCCACACATTCTTCGGTTCACCCCCACCCTAATCTTGTCTTAAGGACAGAGACCTGTTAGATCAGACCAAAGGTCCATTTGATCCAGCACTGCTCTCACAGTGGCCAACCAGATACCTGTATAAAGCTCATAAACAGGACATGAGAGCAACAGAACCCTCCCCTCTTGTGCTCTTTAGCAATGGGTATTCAGAGACATACTGCCTCCAATACTGAAGTTATCTTCGCATTTAAAAGGAAAAACAATTAAGATGGACATGCCTAGAGCTCAAAATCCAACACTGAAGTGTGGCTTATGATTGCTGACCCAGAAATAAGTTCCAAAGAAATCAGATGGGCTTACTTCCAAGTAAGTATGCATTGCTTTACAACTGAGGAGAGATAACTAGCATAACACAAGCAAGCAGGCCAAATTGCCACTATTTTTTAAGTATCTTGGAAAATTAGGTCGCAGTAGTTGCTGTGGTATTCAGCATACACAAGAACACCCCTGCATCTTTGACTTGGCCATCATAATCCACAGTAGTCTTTGGCACATTACAAAGCAGCAATTTTACCTTAAAGCAGTGATGTAAGGCCCTCCTCTGTTCTTCAGGTCATCAGACTATGCATATGGAACAAGAAGCAACAAGAGTTACAACTTTTACCCTACACTCCAAATGGCTTTTACGGTAACAGCAAATTTCATTTATATCTGGATGATCTCCCTAAAACAGCTGGCCAAATCCAGTCCCCAACCCCCACCGCATGTCATCTAAAAGGTGTGCAAGGAGAGTGAAGAGTCCCCTGTGAAGAGGGAGCTGACCAAGTAAGCTTTCCCCTCCTCGATATGGTCACTCAAAAAAAACCCCACAACTATACAACAGCTAGTAGTATTTCCTCCTGATTTCCCCCCCCCAAAAGTATGGAAAGGAGAACCCAAACACATGAACAGAACTTGAAGCCATCCTGGTCTCCCAGCAACATTCTTAGTGGAGAGGTTGGGCAGTGGCTGCAGCTGCTGTAAAGAAAGCTCTACCAGCCTGACAGGTTGTGCATAAAACTGATCTGAGCTCTTGATCATTACCACCACTGACATTGCTTCTGAAAAATAGATGTATGAATCCGATAGTCATGCCCTATAGGAAAATGACCATAAGAATCCATCCAAAGCAGGGAGTTTTGTAACTAAATAACTAGTGCCAGAGTTTGCTTTTTCTTCCACTCTTCCAATCCCTTTTCTTTTGGTGTCATGTTTTCTAGACCATAAGCCTGGAGGGTGAGGATTGTTGATCATTCTAAGATGCTTTAGCAACCTTCTTTGGCTAGAGCAGAGTAAAAAACAAACAAAAAACTTTTAAAAAATAAATATGCCAAATAAAGCACCTGCTTGAATTTGTACAAGTCATTGCACTTTTCATGGAAATCCAGGCTCAAAAGTTCCTTTTGCAGACCTTCTGAAAAGTCCTCATTTTCGAAAAAGTTTGGGATGACACAGTGATGGAAAGGAACAGGATCTAAGACAATGGCCTCTGGAAAAAACAAAACAGACAACAGCTTCCTGAAACACATAACACAGCCCTGTATACATTTTACTGTGCTATTTAGCTGCAGGCATGTAACTCTTAATCCTGACAAAGTTGGCCTTTTCATCTTCAGTTCTGATACTTAAACCAAATTATAGACAGCATATTAGATTACAGTTAACTTGCAAATAAATAATGTATAGGCGACTGTGAACTTGATGGGGCCTGTAATAAATAATGAAGTTTATTAGTTGGGGGCCAAGTGGCATTCAGTTTAGGAATGCAAGGCATCCCTTAACCCCACATACGTTATCGCTGGCTCAGGGCATGCAGCATATCCTCCTTTCAGGCCAATTGGAGGGCTTTCTCAGCTATTTTCACGCTGACAACTTCAGGGATTAATAAGAGTGTGGCTGAATCCCAGAACTTGATTTCAAGGACAGCATTTGTCCCTGCAGTCTCAAGCAGTTTTTGAACACTATACCATCAGATGACTCTTCCCACATCAATCTGTGAACATATGGAAGGCCCTGCTGGATCAAGCCAAAGACCCATCTAGTTCTGCATTATATTCCCACATCTGCCAAACTATGGGAAGCCCACAAAAAATTATGCGCCCATTGAACACTCCCAGCAACTGCACACTACCTCTGATCCAAAAAGTAGTATGCAGGCATCACAACCACTAACAACTGATAGCCTGATAGCCCTTAACTTCCATGGATTGGTCTAATCCTCTTTTAAAGCCATCCAAGTTGGCAGCCATCATCACATTTTGTACTGGTGAAATCCATAATTAAATCTGGGCTGCGTGAATAGGGACAATAGTTTGTCCTGAATCTCAGCTTGGCCCTGAGTTCTAGTATTATGAGGAAGGGAGAAAACCTGCTGTCTCCCTCGCTCCACATGTGTAATTTTAGAAATACTGCACACATTACCCACCCTTTTTCTAAACTAACAAACCCCACGTGTTGCAGCCTTTCCCATAAGGAGCTGCTCGAGACCCTTGATATAGAACGTACAAAAGGTTATTAAACCCAATTTGGCTATTAATTATAAGGCAGCCGACAGCAAGGCATAAACACAGTAATTTGGCTTCTGATAGGCAAAGGGCTGTTCTTTTACAAATTCAGAGTTCTCGACCATTCTCCGATCCTCCCAACAGCCCTTTAAGCCAGGTATGTTATCCTGAGACAGGTACCAGCCCAATATCCACCTAGCGAGGTCTACGGCCGAGCGGGGTGTGTGAACTCGGGTCCAAGCGCAACTTTCTGCCCCAACCCACCACACCACCTCGCGAAACCGGTTCTGTCGGCGCGCCCAGCTCCCGCGCTTCCAGTCTGGGGCGGCACAACGCAGGCACTGGCTTCATACTTCCATGAGGACTAGAGTCCTGGAGGCGCCCATGGAAAAGAGGTCCTAAGCCGGAGGACCCCGCCCCGGTCCCGCCTCCCTCGCTGCTTCCCTCCCTCGCCTCCAAGCCCCGTAAGCCTACCGTGGTCGAAGGCTTTCTGGCAGGCCCAAGCCGCGGTCACCTTCTCCTTCAGGGCCGGCTCCCTCAGGGCTGCAGAAAACTCCGCGCGAACCGCTTGCTTGACCCGCTTCTTGGGCGCTTCTCCGTTGACGGGCGAACCAGAGTTTTCCACACGAGCCGAGTGGCTCCTGCTGCGCCTTCCACTCATCTTCCCCGCACGCATGTGCACAGTACGCAAGAAACTACGTCTCCCGTCATACTTCACGCTTAAAGGCGGGCCTTATTCCTGGTCTAGCCAATCGTAGCGGTGGGCGCGAGACGAGAGCGGGAATGAACGCGAACGAGCGAGAAAGGGTGAAGGAAACCACGCAGAGATAGGATACGTACTCTTACGCACTCTAGAGTCTCCTAACCAACTGCTAGGATGGTTAGTTGAGAGGCGGGGCTGCCGCGGGATGTTTTCATTGGCTGTCGCGTTTCTCATTCGCTCTCTCATGTTTGCTTTCTCTATGGTACTTAGGCCCGCCCAGAGGGGCCGGTACGGTTTCCTCAGGAGCATTTGACACAGATGGGCGGACTCGGCTTCATTCCACCTTCGTCTCTATGGTTCCCGGAAGTGTGGCCTACTGGTTCCGGTGTGGGATTCGGCGGGTGTGAGGCGAGCGGTGTGCGGGACGGAGCGGAGGTTCAGCGCGGCCGGGGAATGCTCGTGGCCTTCTGAGCCGCTTTCCGCTTTCGCCATGTCCGTCGTGCCGCCCAACCGCTCGCAGACCGGCTGGCCCCGTGGGGTCAACCAGTTCGGTAACAAATACATCCAGCAAAGCAAACCCCTCACGCTCGAGCGGACCATCAACCTGTGAGTGGCGCTCGGTGTCCCCCCTCCTTCCTCCCCTCCCATGAGCAGCGGAGAGCCACAGCGCCACGCCTCCTCCGCCCCTTTCTCCCGCGTCTTTACTATAATAGGGTTGTTCCCCCCCCAAGCATCCTCTCCCTTCTGCGTTTTCCAGCACTTTGTCTTGCTCCCCTCCACGCGCGATAAAAAAAAGTCGAGGTCCCATTCACACGTGCATGATTCGCGCGGTTTCCCTGCGCTTGGTTATTATCGGCACCTGGTTCCTTTGTGCATGTGTCGTAGCTCAACGGTAGAGTAGCTGTTTGCCGCTGCATGTCGGGCTGGGAATACTTGCTGCCTGGAACCCTGGAGAGTCGCTGCCAAACAGTATAGGCGACCGTGAACTAGATGGGGTCAGACTTTGCTTTAATGTAGATCCCTAGGTTCCTCAGTCGCCCACACTTCCGCTCTCGGGGACACCTTAATCTGCCTCCACCCCAAGTGTTTTGCAGCTTGCAGACCACATTCTCTCCCCACCCCCCACTTTTTATTAAAGGATGTGTATCTGTTTACCGATGCATTTCTTTTCTGCATGTATCACTTGGGGGATTTTCAGTAGTAAAATCGTATAGGGCGGGAGAAGGCAGTCTGGATCCCCTGTGCCAGCTAAGGAGCTTTTTGTAAACTTCTAGCAACACAAAATTACAAATATAAGCAACTGAGTAAGAAAACAGACCCAGTGATTTCCTTTTACATTGAGTCTATATGTGGCATTGTCATTTGAATACTGTATATATTTCAGTAAGTGCAGGACAGGAGGAAAAAGGTCTTGACCTCCAGGCGATATGTAAAGGGGGGACAACAGAAAATATATTAAACGTATGACTCCAGGTAGGGCTGCGAAATACTCTTCACTGAAACCCTGGAGAACCACTGCCAGCCGGAGTAGATCCCCTATCTGAAACCCTGTAGAGGTGCTGCTGGTCATTTTGTAGACTAGACTGAGCTAGATGCACAACTGTCTTGGTTCAGTGTAGGGCAACTGTCTATGTTTTGTGCACATTGTTTTGTGCATGTGGGGCTGCAGCTCCAAAGCATACAGTGAAAACGGACCATGTAACACAGCTCACAGTCACTGGCTATACCCTGCTCTGTGTTCAATGTTTGAACTAGACTGTCCATTTGCATGAAATACTGTATTTAAGGTCTAATTCCTTTTAGGTATCCACTCACAAATTACACTTTTGGGACCAAGGAACCCCTATATGAAAAGGACAGTTCAGTCGCTGCCCGGTTCCAGCGCATGAGGGAGGAATTTGACAAGATTGGAATGAGGCGGACTGTCGAGGGGGTCCTCATTGTGCACGAACACAGGTTGCCTCATGTGTTGCTTTTGCAGTTGGGCACAACTTTCTTCAAACTGTAAGTGAGCTTTAACAAACCTAGCAATGCGTAATGATACATGTTTGAAGCTTCACAGAGAAAGTAAATGACTTGTGCATGGAGGGCAAAGGCAGTTTTAGGGTAGCTCAACCAGTGTGGCTGCACTGCAGCGAGCGCCATAACAATGCTGTAAAACTGAGTGAGAGACGGGGTGGGGTGGGATTTTAGTGTTGCACAGAGCACCACTGCAATTTGAGAGCCCTGGTCCATCACTGTGGAGGGGGAATTTGGAGTGGAGAAGCAGCTGGGCCTGGGGAGTGAAGCACCACTCCGCCCCTGCCATTCTGTCAGGGAGAGGTGAGAACGTGAAGTCTGTCTTTCAGCCTTGTGTTGCAACTAATGTTCTTTGGCTCCTACCCTCCCAGAACTGCTTTCTACAGTACCATTTCTCCTTATTGTTAGGGTTTGAAAGAGTTGCTCCTACCTAGAACTTGCTTGTTTTTCTTGCATTTCTATTTGTTTGTACGTAGTGTTTCTTAAATTGTGAACCACCTCAAGTGTTTCAGCCAGAAAGACAAAGTATCAGTGTTTTAAGTAAATATGGAGGAATGTAATATGGAGGAATGTAAAAAGCAACTTTGCCAGATCCTTAAAAGGCTCAGGTAATAAGTAGCATGAGAGAATTCTACCTGAGACCTTGGAGAGCTACTGCTAGTCAGAGTAGACAGTACTAGCCTAGATGGCCAAATACAGTCCAAACTGATATAAAGATGTAGCCAATATTCCTGTGTATTTTCTGTAGCATGCTGATTCCCAGTTCCAGTTCTGGGGAGTTCACACACAGTTTAGGCAACTAACTGTGTTTGTAGCTGGCCATAATAGTAGCTTTAGACTGCAGGCTACTGGGGAAATCTGAAGAGGGTAAATCATACCTAACTGAGGTCCATTGATTTCAATGGGTCTGTCTGAGTAATACTTAGCAACAGACCATGGTCTTCCATTTTAAATAGATTGTTGTTGGTCAAGTAGTCAACTCCAGTGGGGCTTTCAGGTAATTTGGGTTACTTCAGCTTTATTCCCTCTACAAATTACAATGTAAAGCAGTATATAAATGGTTGAAATAAATAAAATGCTGTGTTTTTTCATCTATCCTTTCTGAATATTGCTCATTACCTTCCTCCTGCTTCTCTTAGAAAACTAAAAGGTGATGGTGATCCGACTGCACCACACATGACTCTTCTAATCTCTTTGCAGCATTAGCTAGTCTAAATTCTTGGGAATAGTTTCCACAGTAATAAGCCACAATACCTCAAGGACTGTCTCTCCTCATATTAACTGACCCTGCAACAGAGCAGAGCTATGGCCCTTCTACAAGAAGTCTGGATAGTGCCAACACAAGAACAGGCCTTTTCTGCAGTGGCTCCTCTCTTGTGGAATGCTCTCCCCAGGGAGGCTCCCGTGGCACTTTCATTACATATATTTAGGCACTAGGCGAAAACATTCCTCTTCTCCCAGAGCTTTGACTAATTAAACAATCTATGGCCTTTTAAAGTGGGCATCATTGTTTTGTTTGTTATTATGTTTTGTATTTTTGTGTTTTTATACTGTTCTGGGAAACTCAGATGAATGGTGGTATATAAATTAAACAAAGTCCCCAAATTTAAGCCGCTTAACCATTGGCAGTTTTCTTTATGTAAACAAATAAAGAGTCCAGGACATAAAATGTCCCATTGAATCTATTGATTTTTACCATTGGTTTTGTGTTGTATTAAAAAATACATATCTAATAGGACTTAATGGGGGGATGGGACCTGGTCCAGACTTGTTTTGACACATTTTACTATCCTGATAAGGTGAAATTTGGCTGAGGTAGTGAAACATTCTCAAAACAGCTTTTTGGACATTTACTGCAGTGTTACTTTAAAAAATATTTTAATTATGACTGCACCTAAAACACATCCTTTATCATGAATTTCTTTTCCACAGGCCAGGTGGTGAACTTAATCCGGGAGAAGATGAGGTAGAAGGTCTCAAACGTTTAATGACAGAGGTAGATGTCACAATTATTTGCATTTTTATCCTGAGGCTTTAGGATGGATAACAATAAGCCTTTTATGGTTGCATTCACATGAACAAAGGTGAATAGCATTCAGCACACCTGTAAGGTAAATTCAGGAATTAAAACACTTTAATTTTTAATAAACTCGTAGGTGCGGAAATATGTTTGCAGTTTTGCTAATCCTTGAAAATTCCAGTGAGTATGAATTTGAGTTCTGAGTTTTTCTGGTTTTCCATATGAAAGCTAACAAACCCTCACTCTAAGGCAGCTGTGGTGAACCTTTTCTAGCTAGCTTGCAAGGTCCTTCACTCCCCACCCATGGAGAGCCAAATTTGACTGGTGGTCAGAGCTGCTCACCTGTCAATCACCTTGCCAAGCAGAACATCATGTCATATTAATACTTCATTTCCTGTTCTTTTCAGCAAGCTTGTAAGGCACCCAGCTAATTGACCCCCAGTGCCTCTCTCTCAGTATTTGGTACTGGTGCTGGCCTCATCTGAGGCTTGTGCAGGGTTTAGGCTTTGGGTAAGGTGCAAACATCTGGTGCTGCTTTTGACTGACCCTTACATAGGAGCACTAATTCTGTCTTAGTTGTAAACTCTGTTTATTGAAAAGTGCCTCTTCAGTTAAAGGGGTCCAGCCTTCTCCATAAGTGAAGCAGGGAAGGCTCTGGGGCTTCTGTAATGGAGACTTCTGTAATGGATGACAATGGAATATTCTTCAGACTAATGTGCTCACCAGTTGTTCCTGGGTCTGACCTTTGATGCAATTCTGCTTCTGACTCAGAGTCATCAATTTCACCTCCTGAAGAAGTGGGTCATGACAGCTCCATGCCTCTCAGCTCACTGTCTTTCTCCTTGGAACGCTGGGCGCTAGTTGCATTTTCCTTAACTATGTTTTGTTTTGGATTCTATTCATTCAACTCTCTCTTTCTTTTCCCTTCACTGTGTGTGAGCTTAATCTGCCTCCACCTTTCCTGCACAGCTGGTGCTCAGCTTGTTTATTATTTTAGTTATGCAAACCACTTAACTGTGTTTTTTTTGGAAATGGAAAGACATATAAACTGTCTTAGTATTCCCATGGGGCGGGGGTGGCATTGGACAGTGGAGATTTGCATGCTGGGCACCAGCTATATTGAAAATTTTGCACCCTTTGATAGAGATTTGCATACTCAGCAGTATCAGTTGATAATGGGAAGGGAGTGGGAGGGTTAGGAGACAGGAGCTCATGCACTTGGCATTGACCAGTGCTGGGAAGGTGCATGCAGGAAAACATGGCAGCAGCTGCAGCTTTGCTCCTTTAATGCCACTTTGTCTTTCTTAACTTCCTTCTCTTCTCCCCCCATCTCACTCCCTGGTCCAAAAGTCATTTCAGATTCCATTATACAAAGAGAAGCAGATGAATGCCAAGTGTTGCAGGAGACACAGGTGAAGCTAAGCTAGTGAGCTTCTCAAAAGCAATACTTGGCCATTGTTACGAGCAGGCTACTCTACCATGTTGTTGTTTAGTCGTTTAGCCGTGTCCGACTCTTCGTGACCCCATGGACCAGAGCATGCCAGGCACTCCTGTCTTCCACTGCCTCCCGCAGTTTGGTCAAACTCATGTTGGTAGCTTCGATAACACCATCCAACCACCTTGTCCTCTGTCGTCCCCTTCTGCTTGTGCCCTCAATCTTTCCCAACATCAGGGTCTTTTCCAGGGAGTCTTCTCTTCTCATGAGGTGGCCAAAGTATTGGAGCCTCAGCTTCACGATCCGTCCTTCCAGTGAGCACTCAGGGCTGATTTCCTTAAGAATGGATAGGTTTGAACTTATTGCAGTCCATGGGACTCTCAAGAGTCTCCTCCAGCACCATAATTCAAAAGCATCAACTCTACCATATGAATCCTTAATCTGCCTGAGCAAGGTCGTTCTTAGCTACAGTTCTTGAGATTATCCACTTAAAGAGGGACTATACCTTTGAATACCAGTTGCTGAGGAGAAATATTTGTTGCATAATGTTCTGTAAACAAAGTATGGCTAGCACTAAAGAATGCATCTAATTTTTTTTGTTTATTATACTTTTTCTTTGTCCAAAATCAAAACCTATTACTTTTTTTAAAATACACCACTTTGTAAATAGTGTTTTCTTAGTGTCATGATACACTGTACGTAAATGATACACTGTAAATTAATGGCCTGGTTTGCACGTAATGCTAAATCATGGTTTGTTTAATGAAACCATAGATTAACCATGAGTTGTCCCGCAGACTATTTTTTTAATAGCTTGTTCCTCCAAGCTTGTTTTGTTTCCACCCTTGTTCCTTTGTAGCTTGATGAGTGTCTGGGGGTGGGGGTGGTCAAAGACGCCATAGTTAAGGAAGGGGGCTGGATTCTTTGTTTAATGCTAAAACAAACCAAAGTTCATAAGCAAACAACAATTGTGGCTTGACAAAAAACAAATAGTAGTTAAACCACTGGGCAGGGTTTGGATGATCAAACAAACTATGACTTAAATCATAGTTTAATAAGCCATGGCTTTGTGTTATACAGTGGACGCTCGGGTTGCGAACGTGATCTGTGTGGGATGCACGTTCGCAACCCGCAGCGTTCACAACATGCAGCGGCGCATCTGCGCACGCGCGGGTTGTGATTTGGTGCTTCTGTGCATGCGCAAGGCGTGATTTAGCACTTCTGCGTGTGCGCGACCGCCGAAACCCGGAAGTAACCCGTTCTGGTACTTCCGGGTTTTGGCGGTCCGTAACCCAAAAAAACGCAACCTGAAGCATCTATAACCCGAGGTATGACTGTATATGAATCAGGTCATTCAATTAACAGTATTTGTTTGCACTTCTATATTGATTAAAGAAATTTAAGAATTTAGACTATACTGTTGGGCTAGCATTCTTAATATATGACATTCTGCTATTGTGAAGCACTGCCATAGAGCATGTCAGGATTTTCCTTGCATTTCTATTTTGGCAGATCCTGGGTCGCCAGGATGGCGTGCAGCAAGACTGGGTCATTGATGACTGCATTGGTAACTGGTGGCGACCGAATTTTGAGCCCCCACAGGTGAGAATTGAAGTTGCCACTAGCATTTTCATTTGCTTTATTTTTTGGGCTTACAACAAAACCCCTCCCAAGAACTAATTAATCATCCTACTACACGACTCTATTGCTGGCAGAAGACAGGCTCAGGCTTCTGTAAGTCAGAGAAATAGAATTAAGTCACTGAGGAGCAGCATAGTTTCTTTGAATAGGATGAGAGGTTTTGAAATACAAAAACAAAAAAAAGTGCATTAAATAAGGGGCAATGGCATTCTCCTCCCAGAACAACTGATGGCCTTTTCAGGAGCAGATGGCACTTGCCCTTGAATTTTCTTTCTTTTGCCTTCCCTCAAGGGGTCTTTCTTAAGCAACCCCAGGGAATGTGTGAGAAGAGGCTGCCTCAGTTATTCTCTCCTCAGGGTATTGATAGTCGAACAGCCAATGTTGTATGTTTCCTTTTTTCATAGACATTTGCCTTTTTGTTCAAATATTTGGTTTGTGAATTCATACTAAAGTTAGACTTATTTTTTTCATCAACTTGATTGATTATGCTGTTCTGAAATTACAACATTGAAATATAAGTGTTGTGTCCAATGTTGGTGCCACTTCTGTCCATGCATGGAAAGGTTGCTGATTCTCCCTGTCCCATTCTTCCCTGGCTAGCGACATTGCATTCTACTGCAGAACATGAACTGAAAATGACCTGCTGTGTGCATGTTCACGCATACAGCTTTTTAGTCCTGGCCCTTATTTTACCACAGAGCCTTAACTTTTTTTAACGCACAAGCTATGTGAAATTTCTATGCCAAACCCTGAACAGCTTTGAACCTGTGAAAGACTGCTAGCCCCCACGGAGACTTGGCAGATCACCCGGGGAACTCGTATCAGTGGCACCTCATATTGCAGACCATGGTGGGGACCCACAAAGGTGCATTTTCTGCTGTCACCTCAGTTCTCTAAAACAGTCTTCACCCTGCCATACTGGAAGCATCACTGCTTACTAGCTTTAGAAATCTTTTGAATACCTCATCCCTGCCCCCCCCGGCTTTACCTAATTTGTTAAAGATGGATCCTGTTGTTTTGCACATTGTAATGCTTTATTGCACGTGTACTGTTTATTGCAATCTTTAGTAACTGGTATTATTAGTGTACATTTTTGTAATATATTTTTCTTTAGCTGTAAATGATTTAATTTTATATATAGGTGGTATAGATACAAGCACATTTCTAGAATTTGCAACCTAGAATTTGAAAGCAAGTGGGTTTTTTTTTGGAAAAGATATTTATTAAGATTTTTAAAGTATTACAAAATGAAAAAGAAAAAAGAAAAATACAAAATAAAAATAGTTAAAAACAATTCCATCTTTCCGTTACTTATCTTTCATTTGCTTGTTTCCCGGACCTCCTCACACCTCCCTTTTTTGTATTCCAATTCAATTTGTTAATTCAGCAAATCCTTTCCCTCTTTGTTTATCCTAATCTTTAATCTTAAAATATTTTAACCTTAAATTTTAACCTATTAATAATCCATTTTTTCATATTCCTTATAGCATTATAGCTAAAAACCACTTAACTTCTTATCCAAGATCATTCTAACATTCATTAATTTTACAGTATTTCTGTAGGTAGACTTTAAACTTTTTCCAATCTTCTTCCACCGACTCTTCTCCGTGGTCTCGGATTCTGCCATGAAAGCAAGTGTTTTGAATCTGACTTTTTAAAAAAAGCAATTGTGCATGATCCAGTGGCATGATTGGCATTATGTCTAGTTTGGCCCTTGACCTGTGTTAGAATCTACCTATATTTTGCATTTGAAAAATATTTGGAAAATAACTGAAGTGCTCTGGCTGTGGATATGATTCATAGCAAGTAGATTCTAACTGTCCTGGTTCAACCCCATGAACTCTCATAACATGTTAAGTACTTCAATTTCAGGAAAGCTGTACACAGACACGAACTAATCATTATTTTTTATTGTTTCCCACAGTATCCGTATATTCCAGCTCACATTACGAAACCAAAAGAGCACAAGAAGCTCTTTTTGGTTCAGCTTCAGGAAAAGGGTAGGCATTCTGTCACATCTTTAATTTTCATATAGGTTTTCATATAGGTTTTATTGAGAGATGGCAACAAAATCCTGGGCAAGGTGATTTGTACTATCTAAACTTAAAAGAAAATTCTGAAAACTTATTTCCACTGTAGTGGTTTATATGCTGCTCAACAGCTCCAGTGGTGCTCCTCCCCCACTCCTGTGCCGTGGATGAAACAAGCCAGAGTTGTTGTGAGAAGCGAGGTTACAGGGAACCAGGCAGAGGGCCTTCTTGGTAGTGGTACCCTCCCTGTGGAACGCCCTCCCATCAGATGGCAAGGGAATAAACAACTATCTGACTTTTAGAAGACATCTGAAGGCAGCCTGTATCGGGAAGTTTTTAATGTTTGATCTTTTAGTATGTTCTGATATATGCTGTGAGCTGCCCAGAGTGGCTGGTGAAACCCAGCCAGATGGGCAGGGTATAAATAATAAAGCTATTATTATTATTATTATTATTATTATTATTGTGTTACAGTATGATGGATTTTATTGTGGGAGGTAGCATTTCTTCACATCTTTTCTGTACACAGTTTCACTTGAAATTGCTTAAGTTTGGATGGATTTGGCCTTAGGTTTTTATGACTCATTTCAAGTTGCTTTCAATTTGTATGTTGTGCCTGGATAACTAAGAATAGCCTGAGGAGTCCTCATGCCAGGCATGGTATCTGTATATTCAGACTGTGCAAACCAAAGTTCTAAATATTACTATTCTTCATATGATGCAACCTAGGAATTAAGAAAACTAAGCTTCACTCAATATTTGTCTTGTCCTTGCTTGAAGCAGATTTTTATTTGATTTGATCTCTCTTGATTTGTTCTAGCTTTGTTTGCGGTCCCCAAAAATTACAAGCTGGTAGCTGCTCCATTGTTTGAGCTCTATGACAATGCACCAGGTTATGGGCCTATCATTTCAAGCCTCCCCCAGCTTTTGAGCAGGTAGAGTATGCTGTGAGTTTCCATGTTGTGGTTTCATACTGCTGCAGCTGCTACAGAAAAGCTTTCTTTAGCTCTTTCACTTGCTTCTGTAGGGAATAGCTGACTGAGTGCTCTGAGGATTGTGGTGCTTATGTATCCACATTGGCTTGGATCATAGGATAAATTGACTTAAGGAAAACCACAAAAGGAAGGTTTCCATCCTCCCTACAGCTGCCTGAAAGGTGCCCCTGATGGGTTGGTGTGGTGTAGTGGTTAAGAGCGGTAGTCTCGTAATCTGGGGATCCGGGTTCGCGTCTCCGCTCCTCCACATGCAGCTGCTGGGTGACCTTGGGCTAGTCACACTTCTTTGAAGTCTCTCAGCCCCACTCACCTCACAGAGTGTTTGTTGTGGGGGAGGAAGGGAAAGGAGAATGTTAGCCGCTTTGAGACTCCTTAAAGGGAGTGAAAGGCGGGATATCAAATCCAAACTCTTCTTCTTCCTGAAAATGTATGTTGGGTTGCCAGGAGGAAATTCTACAAACTTCCTTAATTTATCTTAGGATTCAAGACACTGTATTTACATCATATCATTCAGCAGAGTACTTTAAATTAGTTTTGAATTACAAACAGTACTTCACATTCCTTATAAGTTCCCTTTCACTTTTCCTTGCTTATCAAAAGCCAACAGACGGCACCCTACAAAAATTTCCTTCTGTTGCTATAGTCATTGCCTGCCTTATCGTATGAGTACATTACCTCAGGAGAATCTGGCTTGATGTACTTTCTTGAACTTTGCTTACTTGCTGGGCTTCCAATTGATGTATTAAGTGCTGGCTGGCTGTTTTTCAAGCTGTGTTCTTAGAAAACTAAAGTTCTAGCAAGCACTGTCTGGGTGCATGTAGAGCAGGGGTAGTCAATGTTCCTTTCTGCACCCCTTGAGATTGTTCAGCCAGGTGAAGGAGGAGCTGGAAGCAGGTGCACAGCTTCTGCATACTGTGAGTCAAAGGTGGGTGGCAATTTCAGGCTATTAGCAACATCCTTAGAAGCAGCAACTCCTTGCTGCTTCCTAAACAGGCCAGTGTTGTAAGCAGCAACACAACAGCAGCTTCCTCCTTCCTAGATCATAGCAAATTCAAAAGCAGGTCAGTATTTTATTTAATAAAATGCCTGCCTCATGTCAAGAGAGCAATTCCCAAGCAGTGGCTTGCATACGAGCCAATTGCTCTGAATTTGCCAAGGTAACTGGGATTGATGTCACATGATGGACAGGTGGATGTGATTTGACCAAAATGACCTCAGGGTCCAAATTGAGAGTTCCGGTAAGCCTAGTAAAATCCATGGGCCAGAGGTTGCCTACCATTGCAGGAGGACCTCTGGCCAGTGATCCAAGTGTGTACCTATAACCTGCTGGAGCATCTTTTGCAATTCATAGAAAGCAGATCTGTTATCCAGCTGATTAAGTGTGTAGTTCATGATCTTCAGTGTGAGTAATCATTACTTCTTTTTCCCCTCTGCCAGGTTCAATTTTATTTACAACTGAATTCCTGAAGTATGTGGTAGAAGCCGTCTCTGTGAGAACAGCTTTAAAATGTAGAAGAGAGAACCTGACACAAAGATTTTTTTTTTATGTCTCCCCCTTCCCCAAACTCTCTACCATCTGAATAGGAAAGTGAATCTTGACTGTTTAGATAGTGGAATGATGAGTGTATTTGCATTTTAATCACCTATGTTGTAATAGTCACTTGACTTTTTTTAAAAATAACATTAAAACAAAATGATCTCCTTTCTGTTTTTGTGTGTTCCTTTTCCCAATGGGACTTGATGAGAGATACCTGCCCACTGATTGATACCACAGCATTGCATGTGAGAATGAAAGAGTACTATCTTCATCCATCTAAATATACCTTTGGAAATGTAGGCCACTTGTTAACTAACTAAAAGCAAGGTCTTTTGCGCACAGGAAACATAGCAGGTGTTGGGACTCAGGTTGACAGCAGGTCTTGAAACAGATGGAGGGAATTGATAACTTGTTCTATCACTCAGTGCAGCCTGAAGGAGGGAACTAAGCTAGGCTAGCAAGGAAGTGTCTGAACAATAAAAGGGCAGTGTTTCAGGTGATGCTGCCTTGTCACATAAAAGTTCCCAGTTTTAGTTTGCTTGCTACTCTTATCAGCAAGAGGAATAACTCCGATTTGGAAAGCTCTGCACTAGTCAGTCATGTGAGGTGGTGCTGAGAATAGCTGATTGACAGGCCGGTTGTCCCAAACGGGCGTAGTGTGAGGGGTGCCAGGGCTCCAGGTGCACAATTTTTGAGGTGGCATGAACCAGGTGCCCCCATGCAGGCGAGCCCAGCACAGCCTGGCGCTCCTCTCCACCCCCTAAGGGCTGCGTCGACTGACTGGGCTCCCCACTGTGTGGACAGGCAGCTCAGCACAGCCCTGCTTTGCTCTGGTGGGGTCCCTCCAGCAGCATCTGCGGTGAGGGCTGGGGTGCCCCCCACCCCGCCTGGCATGTGTGCACCTGTTCTGGGTGCTGGCAAATGCCACTACACTGCTGGTCTCGACCACCTCAGAGTTCGGCCCCACCCATTCTGCTAGTTTCTGGATACAGTATTGTCATTTCTGCCCTGTGTCCATTTTATTAATTTAATTTATGGATTTATCTATTCAATATCTATACCACCTTTCATCCAAGGATCACAGGAAATTTTACAATACACAAACACCAGAATACATAACATAGTAACAAAACAAAAACAATAACCTCTCTCTTGCAAGGAGACTGGCCTCCACATTGGGAGATGAGCAGGCAAACAAACTCATTACATTGTGGCTGACGTAATTAGGGCCTATGATAGTGTTTGCTATTTGCTGTTTATAAACAAATGCAGACCTACAACACAAGACTTGTGAGGGAGGGATCAGAAAAACCTTTCTGTTTTGGTGGGACAATCCAGACACATGAATTGGTTACAGAAGTTCTTAAATTTATTTTAGATGCTTTATTGAGGGAGTGTGGGATGTAAATGTAATAATAAATAGTCCATAGTGACGCAAGTTCTTTTTTAAAAAATATTTTTTTATTATTTTCCTCCTTAAACAATATTTTCGATAATACAATAACACAAAAACTTTTTGCTCTGCTGAGCACATGACTCCCCTCCTCCCCTTCAGCAGGTTTTCCACTTTCAAGTCCTGTCTCGCAATTTAGTTCTTTAACTTCCATTGTCCACATTGTAGGATTTATTTCAATCCTGCTAGTGTCTTCAAATTTTTGCAATTGTTATTCAAATATACAATAAATTTACTCCAATCCCTTTGAAATTTTTGATCGTCCTGGTCTCGAATCCTGCAGGTCGGTCTGGCCAATTCTGCAAAGTCCATCATCTTCACCTGCCACTCCGCAACAGTAGGTACCTCCTGTAACTTCCATTTTTGGGCCATTAAAATTCTCATCGCAACTGTGGCGTACACTGATGCAAGTTCTTTTGACAGACAGTATTTGAAAAATGTGGGGGCGGGGGCGGAACTGAAATATGCAAAATGTGTCCATGCTATGGGAATTTTATTATTCATAAAGCTTGCAGAGGGCTCCAACCCTGATGTCAACAGATGGAAGATGTGCATGGTGATATCTTCCAGGAGATACAGTATGTACTGTACCCACTCAACTTTGTTCTGCACAACTGGCTCTTTTACAATCGTTCTGCACTTGCAAGGAATTGCTTCTTCAAGGTGGAAGCACCAGCCCTTTGGAACTCCTTATTAATATTAGACAACCACCTCTCTATTGTGTTTGGTACCTGCTATTTTTTTTTTTTTAACCCATAGTTTCATCTGTCGTGATGAGGCCAGGGGAGTTTTACAAAGGACTGGAAATGTAAAAGATTGTGTTACAAGGCAGGGGATTAGTTGGCAATAGAAAGAAAGAAACCTCAATTTTTAAAAACCTAACTATTGGTCAACAGGTATGCACTATATTTTAATAAGATGGGCAAAGAAAATTGGACTACTGTATTCTGAACTGTTTGCAAGAAATGTGTTTGAATATATTGTGTCATATACATACAAACCCATGTCTCACACACAATATATTTATTTAAATTTGCCTGCTCTTCATGTTTACAAGACACCACCGAGGTTACAATGTTAAAATCTAAAGCTGTATTTTAAACATTTAAACAAACTAAGCATTATACACTCAAGCATGCATTACATTCCGTATATAATTAATACACTTTAATTAGAAGTATAACTTTTGGCATAGATTATGCCTGATGATAATAATAAAGCGTGCGTATACTGTCCGTACTGTGTGTCTAACATATTGTGTGTCTAAAATAATATTTTGTGTGGTTAATATATGCACACAGCACAGAGCGTGCGTGTTTGCCTGTGTCTAGGTGTCTTAAAATATATGTAGGGGGTGTGTTGTGTTAGATGTGTCAGCGTATCCCGACAAGAAACCCGCCCCGCGCGGCCTGTTCCCCCCAAATCCACCCACCTTTCCCTCCGTCCGTCCCCTTTCTGTATTTCCCCTTCCATATTTCCGCGCCCGCCGGTCACTGCCTGGGAGGGGAAGGCTCAGCTGGGCGGCCTGTCTCGTCCCTCCACCCCAAGTCAGCGCCGTCCGCCTTCTCTCGCAGCCCGAAGCCGAGCGTCTCCTTCGCCCCTGGCCGGAGAGGCCTCCGCCTCCGAGTCAGTGGGCTGGATTCGCTCCGCTTGCCGCGACGGAGCGGGCGGGCTCCTGAGGGAGGCGCTCATTCGCTCGGGAAGAGGCCCCGGGGCGGCCAGCAGCGGGCGGGCGACTGCGCGGCTTTCGCTCCCGAGTTCCGTGCGTGTGGGCCGGAGTCAGCGGGAGTAGGCCTCTCCCTGCGGGCGCTAGGCCGTTGCCGGGAGACCCCGCGGACCGCGCTAGCGAGCCCGGGCTGGAGCCCGCCAGGCCTCCGCGATGCCGCTACTCTTCTTGGAGCGCTTCCCTTGGCCCAGCTTGCGCACTTACACGGCGCTCAGCGCCCTGGCCTTGCTGGGCAGCAGCCTCAGCGCCTACCGCGCCCTCAGCCAGGCCGCCGAGCACACGGAAGAGCCCCCCGGGGTGCGGCTGCAGCAGGAGACCGGAGGAGAAGGAGGAGAGGAGGGCGACCTGTCGCCGCGGGCCGGGCCGGCCGCCCTGGACGTCGCCTATTACTTGCTCTCCGACAGCCTCTGCGTCTGGGTGAGCCGCCCGGGAAGGGAAGGCGAAGCGGGGCCTGAGGGGATTCCTTGGAGGTGGGGAGGCGTGATCCCCGGGGTCAGGGGGAGGTAGACGGCCTGGGGAATAGGCCCCGGGTGGGGTGTGCGAGGGGGATCACTTCGAAGAAAGGGGCGAGGAGGACGGGGCTGCTGAGGGCGAATTAGGAGACGGGGCAGGAGGGGGCGCCTGATTTGGGGAAGAATGAGAGAAGTCATGAGGCACAAGTGGCCCACCTGTAAAGGAGGAACACCTCTGGGCAACGTGGGGTGGGAGCCAACAACCCCACTCAGGTCGGTGGGCTGGATCCCACGAAGTTGTCCTCGGAGTAGACCCAGTGAAATTAATGGGTGCAAGGTTGTGGGACTAGGCCCACTGAAATCGCTAACACTTAAGCATGTCTGAGTCTGGATCCAGCCCCGTTGGTGAGTTTGTTTGTTTTTTTACGGAAGAGAAGGTGCCTGGAGGAGAGGAGGGTACTGTATTGTGGGGAGTGGGCACCTGATGTTTGGAGGGAGTAGGTGTTTGGACGGAGTAGGGCAGGGGCCAGCAAACTTTTCCAGTAGGGGGCCGGTCCACTGTCCCTCAGACCTTGTGGGGGGCTGGACTATATATTTTTTTTGGGGGGGGGAATGAATGAATTCCTATGCCCCACAAATAACCCAGAGATGCATTTTAACTAAAAGGACACATTCTACTCATGTAAAAACACGCTGATTCCCGGACCGTCCGTGGGCTGGATTTAGAAGGTGATTGGGCCAGATCCAGCCCCCGGGCCTTAGTTTGTCTACCCATGGAGTAGGGTGTATCTCCCATCTTATTCTCCATAGCCACCCTTCACAGCAGTAATTCCCTGGCCAATATGCTCCTCCCTCTCAAAGAGGCCCAAAGAAATGTGGTCCTTGTGGGGTGGGCCAGAGGGTTGGGTCTTGCAAGGTGTAGCGACATAGTGGGACACATTGGTGAAAATATTAGGAAAGAGGATATAGACTTCTCTTTCCCCCACATTATGGGATGTGTGTTTTGTAGGGGATGTTCAAGGTAGCATCAGGGTGATGAGAGTAACTCTGCATGGCATGGTGTGGGTATAATGACAGGGAATAGGGTTGTATGCCTAAGGATCAGTGCAGGGATTACATATGCTTGTTTGGGGAAGAGGGTGTTATTCACCCATTGCTCCCTGACATTCTGTTCCTATTTGCACATCTGAGTAGGTGGGGGGACATTTTTTGGCAGAGTGATAAAGCTGGCAGAAGGAGAAGGCATCTGAAAGGCAAATGTAAAGATCGTTAAGGGTCAAAAAGTGTGGGGTCAGAGTAGCAGATTAGGGAGTACTAAGGGTTATTCATTGTCCCTAAGAAAATATTTAGTGGAAAAAGGTAGTTGCTGGAAGTGGTTTTGATTCTTTAAGGAGTAGCTAGGAAGCGAGGGATGCTGGCCTAGGAGTTTTGGGGGATACATGATAGACAGCACCTAGAAGAATAAGGAGGCAGTGTAGTAACTAGAACGTGATGGTGCTAATGAAGAAAGTTCATTTAATGTTGATTCCAAGGTTGTC